ATAGAGGATCAGATTATGAGAAAATTAGCGTTGTTGCAAGACATGGATGTAATATAACAAAATACAGCAGCACATTTACATTGGTATTAAACTCCATTTCTTCAGCCATTATGCTAGAAGCATGGCAAGAGCTCTCTTAATTTTGTATGTTTTGGTCAAAAATATCTAAAAAGCTTGAATTAATATTTGTTCTGACAGAGCTTCAAATCTGAACAATGTATGAACTCTTCAACCCTGAGAAAAAAAAAGATGATAAAATCTCCCTAAATTGTGTGTGTATTTATGGTGTGTTACCTCAGCCTTGCCAGAGTCTTCACCAAAGCGTACTCCCGTCGCCTTCCTGATGGCATCCACCTCTTCTTCTCTGCCCTTGCTAAGCTCCGCCCACCAAAACCAAACATGGCGGAGAACCCGAAACACACCAACTGGCCGAGAGACGTGAAGCTGCACATGTCCACCTGCTGTTTGTGACCTGCACACAGACAGAGGGAGAGCTTTAATATACTGATGATTCTTATTTGGATACTATCAGGAGAAGCGGTCTTACAGTGAGAAGGTCATTCATATTCATGAGAAGCAGGACACCAAATATGAGCGACAGAAAGAGGTCAGGAGTGTGTATGTGTGTGAACATCTACAAACTTTAGGGAAATCACATCGCAGTAGAGTGACCACTCTCTGGTTGTTGTTGCTCCAGTTTGACCAGCCTATGGCTGTCCATCAGTCCAGTGTCACCAGCTTCAAAGGCGGCAGAATTTAGAGGATTTTAAAGCAGATTTAGGACAAATTTGTGTCTCAGTGTCTGTTAATAATTTTTCCAAAGCAGTGATGATTCTCACATAACAACTTTAGATTTGGTTGGAGATATTGATGGGCTATATGATGTGCAAGGTAAGGATCATGTGACCAATAGGGTCACCTTGTTAGGGTGTACGACATGAAGGAACATTTTGGAAAACTGGACCCTACTTTTTTTTACAGCTTTCAATGCAAACCACAAGTTTCTTTCTTTCTTTCTTTCTTTCTTTCTTTCTTTCTTTTTACTGTGTGGCATCCAGGAAATATTTAAACTACTCTTGTCTTTAAAAGCAGCTCAATCCCAGAAATAACTGAAATTGGATAATTAACGTAATGAATCGTATTCACCAGCACTACCATTCAATAATCACACACACACACACACACACACACACACACACACACAAGCACACACACACACACACCCACCATGCCATCTGGCCAAATACCTGCTGTAACCTACTGAACTGCAGTCTCAGTACCTGTCTGCCTGACGGCTTGTCTCTCTCTCTCTCTCTGGATGAATCTTATTTCCTCACCATATGGCGTGTTGTCAGTGTGGGTGTGTGTGTGTGTGTGTGTGTGTGTGTGTGTGTGTGTGTGTGTGTGTGTGTCTGAGCCTTAATCCTGGATGGTCAACCTCACAGTCAGTGGGTCAGTGTGATCAAACCTGCAGCATTTCTTAAAGGTGCAGTCATCATTTATATCTTGACAATATCAGAAGTTCTGTTTAAAAAGAAACTTTATAACCCTAAAGTTCTTAAAAGCCTTTTGTTGCATGTTTGATTATCCTCACTGTATTCTCTGACACATCAGTTCCAGTAGGGGAGAAACACACTCAGTCCATTGGAAACACAACACAGTAATGATTCGCTGCAGCGTACACTCAAGTTCAAAAGAGAGATAATGAAAAGTAAATACAGTGTGAATATGAAAACGCTGAACGTAAACTACAGAAGTAAACTAAAGTTATTTCTGACTTCCAAACAATGCATTAGCCTGGCTTTGTTTTGCAGTTACATGATCACAGCATAACTTTTTTTTTTAAAGATTTTATTTTTGGGCGTTTTTGTGCCTTTATTGTAGTGAGAGGACAGTGGATAGAGTCAGAAATCAGGGAGAGAGAGCGAGAGTGGCGAATGACATGCGGGAAAGGAGCCACAGGTTGGACTCGCCTGGAGGTCCACAGCCTCCATACATGGGTACCCAATGCGCCACGAGCACCCCAATCACAGCATAACTAAATCTGTAATAGAAACTGAAACATGCAGATAACAGCCCAACACAGGCTCGCTAAACTGCAATGGACTATGGCAGTAGGGTTTTCTAAATTAATTCATTTTAGATTCCATGTGTTTAAAACTGTACAAACTAAGAATGTTTTATTTTTTTGGGTCCCTTTACATCTTGACAGCAATCAATGAATGAAATGTTCCAAAAAAAATGTTGTTCATGAATGTCACTGAACTAAAATGAGCCTGTCCAAGCATTTTGATTCTGATCAAGAACTATACTTGGAAGGTTAAAACAATTGGATGCCTGTTTACCTGCCTACCTGAGCCCACTCTGTCGGTGCATTCATTGAGTGTGAGTTAGATCTTCCCAAATCCGCATCTACCAGGCACATTGCTATAAAATGGCAAAAGGAATATAAATAATCCTAGCTAAGGTGCTTGAGCAGGTAAATATTCTTAGGTGTTTTCATAAAGAAAATAATGTACTAAACACTTTCATTGAGTTAATTTGTCTGTTAAATTAGGACACTGGAGCTTCTGAAGGACAGTTCAGGTATGTCATAAAAACATTTTAACTCACCTGTAGTGACCTCTGTGGGAACAGCTTCCCACCTGAGAACTCTAACTGTTTTCTATTGTTCAGGAATTAGTCTAATTTGTACCATCTGTCATGCACACACTGACAAACACACACAGCTTCCAGTGTTAATTAATGTTAATGAACCACTGTCTCACCACAACCTGTCATTCACAAACATCGGCCTGCCCTGCTGAAAGCTGATTGGTCAGGAGGTTTACTCGAGAGCGATGAAAGGGGGACGGGGGCCATGGTGGGCGGAGAAAACCTGTGATTTAGAGTGAAACCGATCCTGTTGTTAGACATCTGTCCACTCCTCCCTCAGGAGTCCTCTCGTACCGTCTGCTTCACTCAGACTGAAGCTTTGTTTTTACTCAAACAGTCTGAGTGACCACCAGCCAATCACATCAAAGCTGACTGGCAAATCAAGCTCCTGATTGGCTCTCCGGCAAATCCTCATAGTAAATAAGATGAAAACAACAGAAGGGTGCTAACTACACACAGTCAATAGAAAGAATCAACTCGGATAACATGAACTTACAGTAGAGGCATCCTATTGGGCAGAGAAAAATTTAGACAATATCGAAGTACCAACACTCAAGTTCATCTAATGGCCACTAGGGACTGGATCCAAAGGGAGTCACTATCCATAGACGGCTGTAATAAAGTGCCTTTATTTCCAGTAGAAATAATCATGTGAACAAAATGGTACCCAATTATGTTTTAGCTCTTTTTGAGATTTTTTCATGAAAATATTGACCTTATAATATTAGTAGGGCTACATTTAAATGAACTGACGGCCCTTCTTAGAAATCTGTGCGCCAATTCATTTATATGATAGCATTGGCATTAATAAGCAGGTTTCAGTGTCTTGCTTTACCTGGTAATACATCGACATATTTGGTATTTTATAAGAGCAGACTTGTGGTTTGCTTTTTCTCGAACCCAGACGCACACCTGTGCCGCTGTTTTCATGTTTACAACTGGTTTCATTACACTTTAATGATCTAACTGCTGCTGTAAGGGTTCAAAGTAAACACACTTTATCCTTCAGTGAACATCCGGAGATCGTTTACACCCTTCAGAGGTCAAAGGTCAAAGCTCAAATGTCCGTTGCAAAGAAGAGCGCTTTAACTTTCACGTTAAAAAATATTTGTTTCATTGCACGCTCCTCAATTTCATATGTTCCAGAGGCTCTCTTAGCCTTTTTGCACCGATGTGAAAACAACTTTCTTCAGATTCTATGAGATCCATAACACCAAGTAGCTGAGTAATCCACAAACCAATGGGTAAAGTTTTATCAGTTCATCCTCTCAGTATTTACAGTCTTAGGTGTAGCACAGGTCGAGCCGATTATAATGTAAGTAGTAATAATAATAGGAGGGTGAAGCCACCCAAGACAACAAAGTAGAACCAACCCAGGACAAGATTAAAACATTTCAGACCAGGTTGAACCCACCACATTCATTCCATTTCATTTTTCTTATGTTATGCTTCAATTTATGTTAATTGTTACCAGTGTTGTGTGCTGTGTTTGTTCAGTATATCACGTTATACTGCGCTGTGTGTCTCTTTTGCACGATTGCTCAAGGCAAATTTTCCCTTTGGGAGTTACAGTTACGTATACCTAATCTTACTGAATCACAGAGTGCGTTTGTGTGAGACTAAAGATCCAGGACGATGTTCCTAAAGATATAAACAACATGGTCCACATACCCAGGATGATGTGCAGGGCTGCAGTGACCGGATCTCTGACTCCATGAACGGAACAGGAAACCACGTCTGTAGAGCCTGTAAAGACAAACAGACATTTAATACAACATCACACTCCTCAGGGTAAAAAAAACAAAACAGTATATTTGTTTTTTTGATCTATAGTTTATGTTTAAGTGTCTTTTTACTCACCAGCGGGAATGATTCCAAGTGGCAGCACTTGTTTCACTGGTTTCTCAGGAGAACCAGCATCCAGCTGAGCTCTGAGGACCATAGCGTGACAGAGCTCGGCTACCGAACCGTCCCCTCCAACACACACCACGCTGATAGAAAGGTGGAGACAAGAGAGTGTAAGGACTATTACACAGGTAGAAGGAAACTGTCTTTAAGTATGAATGTCTTTTGTATCTCAAGTTATTAAGTACACTATTCTCACTATTCTTGAAATGATATCCTGCAGCAAACAACAATAGAAGTGCTTCATTTGCTGCCTTGTGCAGATATCCCAAAGTATAAAGTCATCCAGCAGGGGGCATGACTCCTCCACAGGATACTCCCCTGACCGTGTGTATCACACCTCAGTACATTTAGGGACACAACCAAAACGTGTCTGCAGCAGAAAGTTTGTGAAACAATGAAAACAGATGCATTGGAAAGTCTCCTAACATTTTGTAGTCCTGCAAACATAGAAATCCTGATTTTAAATCTAAAAACTGAACCCATTTTAGATTGTGTTTTAAAAAAAACCTCAGGATTTAACCTTTAGAAACATTGGCTTCATTTAAAATTATATTTATAGTTAACATGTTTTTTTAACTTAATGTAAAGTTTCATAAAATATTGCTTTGCTAGTATAACACGACAATGGAAATCTTGTTAATCATACACACACCCAATTATAGATGACTTAAACTTAACAATAAAAATACTGTGACTTTCTTTTACTTTGAAACATAGAAAGCAAGGAGGACATTTAATAAGTCTACAAAAAAGGCGGGATAATCTCTTATTTTCTTGAGTAAAAAGAAAGAAAGAACCGCAGAAATAATAAAAACATGTATAACTGCAGTTTTTGTAAAGGTTTCAAAAGAATCAATAACTGCTGGGAAGTATTCGATATAATATATGACTTGACACAGCTTTTTGAATACTCCTGAAAGTAAAAGGTTGGACCGATAATAGGGACGAGGTCTCTTAGGGTTTAACTAGAAACGATAAATAAGCCCTGTAAACTGCTGGTAACAGATTGTTGACCATAACTACAAAAACAGAACAAAAATGGGCACCGAAGAAAACATTGAACTCTTGTTTATACCTACAAGAGTGCATCTGCTTTTTTCAACATCTAAATGTTACTCTCATTATATTTGTCATATATTATATTATATACTTGGATTTCCCTTGGGATCAATAAAATATCTATCTATCTATCTATCTATCTTTGTATTTAGTGGCATGTTGAGGTGGACTTCTTGTGTGTAAATGTTGTGATTGTTTGACATGTGTCTGTTTACATGTTTTTTTAAAGTTCAGTAAAAGAGCCAGAGTTTCGTATTTTTGTATGTGCAGTAAATGTAAGGCTAACAGACTCCGCCCCCTTCCCCCTCCTCCTGAGTATGGGATTACCTGCAGCTCCCGTCACCACAGTGACAGCCAGCCTAATTGGCAAATGTAGGTTTCAACCAAATCCACACCAGAACAGCCTTACACACTCACACACACAACCGCTACCTTAGCAACGTTGGCTAATCTTCTCTAAGCACATTAAGCTTTATGACGGCTGAGCACAAAAGCAGCTTACCCACACGCACACACAGGCACGCACACACACACACACACACACACACACACACACACACACACACACACACACACACACACTCACACACACACACGCAATCATAGATATTGATGAAAAGGTGATCAAGTGTTCATTCATAGTTTTAGCTCTTGATGTTATATTATTTTGCTTCAGTAGCACAGATGATTATTATTACCCTTAGCTTAGTTAGCAGTATGTGTATGATATCACCGGTTTGTGTATATTTTTAGGTACACTGTGTGTGTGTGTGTGTGTGTGTGTGTGAGAGAGAGTGCCGTAATCAGTCTGGGTCAGTGTGTTTGTGTGTTTTTGTGTCAGTCTCTGACGGTAAACTGTTATCTAATTTTTGGGTTCGGCCGGTCGTACTGGGACGATGTCATGTTTGTTATTAACTAATTAACTTTGAAGTAAACATTATTTATATATATATATTTAAATGTAAACTCTGAGAATTTAGTTTGTATGTTTTGAAAGCTTCAACAAAAAAAAAGACATTTTTTTAACATCCTCTGAATGGATAATTAACGATGAAGATGCTTCCTCTTAGAATGAGCCGTGTTAGCGTTAGCCTCAGTCTTTGAGCATATTGTGAAACTTTAGAGTTTGATTCTAGTCTTCGCTTGTTTCTCCTCTTCTTAAATGTAATCAGTTTCACCTTAAGGACATTTTCAAATTGTACTTTGACTCTAAGAATCTACCCTTATTGCATGGGCGGTTCTAAGCAGGGGCCAACAGTTCCCCTGTAACACCGAGCTTGGTCCCCCCTCTGGCCACCCCTCCAAAAGGAGTGAACATACTGTACACAGTATTTACCTCAACAACCAGACGCACAATCTAGTATTAAATACTGTTACAGAAAGACATATAAATCATGGTTGTGGTATTTAATGATGTGCGCTAAATCGGTCCATGAAATTATCATTCTCACTGGGAACATGTTTAATTTTTTTCCTTGTATTTTGCTAATTATTCTTGTGATTCTTGTTCTTTTGGTTTTCCTTAAAGTTGCTTTGGAAATCGACTCGCTGTCATTGTGATTTTATTTAATAAAAGGTTGATGAAAATGAGACTGGTAAAAACATTAAAACATCAGCCACCGACAGAGATGTCAACCAACACCTGTAAATACAGTGAACTCAATTAGCTTGCTAGTGAGTTAAAAATCTCTCATCCTGAAAAGGCATTGTGACCTTCTTATAATATAGGATCAATATTTAAGTTTCTGCTGTTTCTTCCAATGCAAAAACTTCATGCATTAAATAGCAACTTACAGTCAAGCTGTGTGATAAAATATCAGGTGACCTGTGCACAGAAGATTGAGTCTACGAGCTCTGCAACTTATACACATTATCTAACTAACAAGGAGGAAACTGGTAATATTAGATAAATGTCATTTTGCCAAGATAATGTCAGTATTAATTCATTTATGCCAGGAAATTATAATTGTCTTGGAAAAAAATTAAGCATTTTCACAACCAGGTAATTCATAGAGGAGAGAAAGAGAGACAAGGGATGATCAACAACTAACCCATCAAATTCATCCAGCTTGCATTCCTTCATCACTGAGAGAGCGTAACCCTTCCTCTCGGTCACTGGAGAGAGAGAGAGAGACAGGCAGAGAGAGTTTGAAACGTAAGAGAGAGATACAGGACGAGGAAGAGAGAGTGAGACAGAAGGAGAGAGAGGGAAACAGATGGAGAGACATTGAGATGGACAGAGATGGACTTCATGCTTGTGTGTGTGCGGTCACATGTACACAAGTGTGTGTTCAAGGCTGCCAAAAAAAAAAAGTGGGACAACGGATATCACACCATCTGCTTAGAGGAGGAGAGGAGAACATTTGAGGAGGAATAGAGAAAGAGAAGGAGAGGAAACCAGGAGAAATGTGGAGAAAAGGAGAGGAAGCGTGCTGCAAACAAAGGTGTGTAAAACATGAAGAACAGCAGATAGACATCAAACTGAGTTTTAACCTATAATCACGCTTTATTTAATGATTGCTCATCACATTGCATATTTAATTGCGGCTGCAAAGTGGTGGAGTGGTTAGCGCCGTCACCTCCCAGTAAGAAGGTTTTTGGTGCGAACAGTTTTCATGGTTCCCCTGTGCATGCATCGATTCTCTCTGGGTACGCCGGCTTCCTCCCACAGGAAGTCATGCTCGTTGTATGGTCACTCTGAATTGCTTGTAGGTATGAGTGTTAATGTTTCTGTCTCTACAAGTCAGCCCTGTGATTGGCTGGCGACAAGTCCAGGGTGTTTCCCCGACTCTCACCCAATGGCAGCTGGGATAGGCTCCAGCCCCCCCCCCCCCTCCGTGACCCGAACAGGACAAGTGGAATAGATAATGAATGGATGAATGTTGTTATTGCAAAACTGAAGAATGTAATCACACTGCATATTTTTCTCATACCGTGCAGAACCAGTCAGTGTATGTTTGTGTGAGTCAAAAAGGCATCGCAGTGATCTGAACCTTGAGGGACCAAAATCAGATATCCAAATTTAGATATTTTCTCACTGTGGGGCTCTGAGATATTGTGTCCACAATCATTGGAGAGACAGACGGACAAAAGTGTTGGCCAACCGAAAAATATGCCTGCAGCCACAGCATTTCCCGACGTTGCTGCATTAAACAAGATGAGGATTGAGATGAGCGGAGATGGGATAAGATTAAATGAGAGGAGAAGACAAACAAGAGGAGAAAAGATGAAAGGGTAGGCAAGGAGAGGAGAGGAGAGGAGAGGAGAGGAGAGGAGAGGAGAGGAGAGGAGGATGTCTCCATGTCACAACAGATGGGCTAAGCTCCACCCCCTGTATCAGTATCAGGTTACCTAGCAACCAGAGACTGCCATTAACACTGACCTTTGGACCTCCTCTACTCTCACACACACACACACACACACACACACACACACACACACACACACACACACACACACACACACACACACACACACACACACACACACACACACACACACACACACACACACACACACACACACACACACAGATTTCACCTTGTCTCCCGCTCCGACAAATAATTTAAACACAAAACACACGAGTTATAATATCTTGCAAAGTCTTCAGACGCCCCGCCCACTTAGTCAATGTTTATCGCTTGTGTTTTTTTTTTGATAAACTTGATTAATAAAATAATAAACAAGTGGATGAACTGACCAGTGATGTCAGTGCGGACGTCGGCCATCTTGAAGAGAGGAGCCACGTGTTCTCTGTAGATGTGAACTGATTCCTTCCTGTGGCTGCTGGGGTTGATGAAGACCTTCACATACCTGGGACGACTGAACCCTGCATATAACAAAACAAAAAACAAACTTATTTTCATTTACGGGTTAAAAAAGGCAATGTAAAGTCAAAATAGCTTGTTTTTAACGCATCTGAACTCATCAGTCAATCCAGCATTCTGGTTTAGTATTTGTATTCCTTTATATATTGCCATGAAAGTTGTACCGACATTCATGTTTCCCAGAGGATGAATCGTATTTATTTAACCGAGACCCAAATTTCAAGCAATTCAAACAAAACTGAACAGATAAAATTTGTTTGTAACTGGAAGAGTAAACACCAGTTTACTGCTGTGATTATTCATAAAATCATTTTACATCACCAATCTAGGCCTGCACAGTATGAGAAAAATATGTGATGCATAATCAAGAGTGCACATCAGCTTTAAATCACGGTTTCCACCTGTTTTCTGATCTTAATGTTCGACACAATACCTGTGGTTGCAACAACTTCCTCCTGAACAAATTCAGGCTTTTGCTATGTGTTTATTGAAATTGCAACTTATTGCACAGTGTGTGTGTGTGTGTGTGTGTGTGTGTGTGTGTGTGTGTGTGTGTGTGTGTGTGTGTGTGTGTGTGTGTGTGAATGTGTGTTTCACCGGTATTGACTTCAAACTACAGACACACTTACACTCACACTGACCCCCTGTACAGCTCATCATTAGGCAGATTTAGAGACCGCATTATAAATCCCCATAGACCAGCACAGATCAATATACACACACACACCAGTTCCATTATCCAGCTCATTACTATAATCTGCTCCCAAAAGGCCATGACCTCGCCCTGTTAATGACCCCCCCCACACACACACACACGCAGGGCAGCACCTCCTGCCTTCACCCCACAGCTCTGAACCGCTTTTTTAGGCGTTTCTGTGAGGAGAAACCCAAAAGACTCCCACCCCTCTTCTCTCTACAGGACTCTTTTATTTAGCAGAAGTGCCGGTTCCCCCGAAAAATATTCTCAACAGCCTGCATGATTTGATGATATTTGAATTTCCCACAGCATCAATAAAGTATCTATCCATCTATCTATATATCTATGACTAATACATGAATTTTCATCCTGGTTTCTGAATGTAAGTCCTTGAGAATGTTAAAAGGGACTCACAGCTGCCCTCTGCTAAAGGACCCGGGAGAATACTGGGAGAAATGGTCATAACGGGGCCTTACAATGAGATGTAGGACAAAATCACTAAGGGTCAAGGTGACACGATGTGCGATGGCAAGAATCTGACTAAACAATACGATGGAGGGGTTACAGTTTAATATTATGCAGAACTGTAATCAAGAAACAAAAAGTCAATATTTTTATTGTGGAAAGTAAAGACAAAAAATACTTGTTGCACAAAACAGATGTAAATAAGTTCAAGTCATTCATTCATTTCAGAGAATGGGGGTCAGCAATCAAACACATTTCTGAAAAATTTGGGGAAATTGACTTCCTTTTTCCTTTATTGACTCAAACTGTCACAGTATTAAAGAAAACTAATACTACATGCATAATTGAGATGAATAGATATTTTTTTCCACTTAGAGCATGGGGTATGAATTTGTATTTCCCACAAGCTTGTGCATTTACACTCATGGTAAATCCATACATGGTTTCACAGTTTCACAAAAAGAAACATCACAATGCTGACAACTTTTTAAAGACTGCCTTACCCCTCTTTAACAACTCAGGTCCTTGAATGTCAGATTAAGAGTTTCTAAACTCAGGTAATTAAGTTTAATTTCCATCACAATACCAAAAAAAAACCCAGAAATTATGCAACTCAGACAGGTGACGATAACTGAAGTGACGATTTAACAAAAGTTTAGTTCATCACCTACAGTAGCTCTCTCTCTCTCTCTCTCTCTGTCAATACGGCATGTAACCTTTTTAAAATTAATAAAAATAGCGGCACACATTAACCCCTCATTCTTATATTGATATTTAAAAACACTTTTTATCAGAAGAATCAGTCTATTCGTTCATGGTTGCCTTAAAAGGAGCTTCTCTACCTGCCCGCTAAAACTAACTACCTGATTCATGCCCTCTATATTAATCTCAGACACACACACACAGTCACATAGGTCATCATGTCATTCCATTTGATGATATTTGTCAGAGTAGACAGGTAGACGTAGAGAGATCAAGTATCACAAGATCATCTCCAAGCCTTCCAGCTGCAGGTTGCTTTGGCGCTGCTAAAATGTTACCATGGTAAACAATCCCAGTGTTGTAAAGGAGAAGTGTTGAGTTTCCGATAGAGGACTGAGCTGCGGAATATTGTTGACCAAAACAGATTGTTTTCAGGTGGAGGCTCCATCCGAGGACAGGGGCGGTAGTAATCAATTAAAGGCTTTAAACGTCCAGAATAATCGGATCCTAATGAGTGATGTGATCTGAAGAGCTTCAGAGACATGAGGCTTCAAGGTAAACTCTAGTTTTGAAGTCCACTCTGAGTGTAAAAACTAAAAAGTAAGTATTCTGGAAATCTCTGAAGCTGTTGGAACAAACATATCAGAACAGATCCAGTGAGGCCAACTTTCCCCATGATGTACCTGCCTGTGTTTATGCAAAAATGTTTACTTTTCTTTGAGACAGTGGCTGGCTCAACATGTAGCCTGAATTAAGCTACAGAATGACTTTACAAGTAATAATGGTTGTTGTAGTGGCTCTGTTCGAGTAGTGGTTGCTGCATGTGTCCTTTGGTCCTCCGGGAAGATGGCCCAGGTTCACATCCGACCCGTGGCTTCTTTCCTGTGTGTCTTTACCCCTTTTCTCTCTACCTGACTTCTGACTCTGTCTCTAGATGAAAGCATAAAAAGCCCAAAATAAACCTTAAAAAAAAAGGGGGGTTATCGTATGGGTATCGTATTTCACTGCATCGCATCGCATCACAGAGAATCCTATGGTATAAGTGGTATAAGTCATCCTTTGGTGACCTAAAATGTGTGCAAAAAATGTCACGCTTATATAGAAGACAACTGTTGAACTTGAGATATTTTATTTCTTTTCAACATTCAATGGAAAACGTTAACTTACTCTAAAAGCTCACTGTGCGATTTTCAAATAAAAACAAATGCTGTCTTCAGACACACCTCCTTCATCACTCAGCTCCCCCCTCCCCTCCTGTCTCAAAACTTCCCCCGCCCCTCCCATCCTTCTTCACTAGAGGGGCTCTATTCTGTTAGTGAGAGAGAGCTGCAGACGAGTGCAAATAAACATGTGAAAACAAGACTCTGCGATCATTTTCACGTAATAATATGTATCTCAAAGTTGACGAGGTTGTTAAACGTTTATCTTTTTAAGTCGGAGAGAGAATCTTTTCTTGAGTTTGGAAACTCTGTTGGTTCTCCTTCAGTTTTACTCTCGTGACCACACTTTGTTATAATGCCTCTAGACACAGTTTAGGGTTGTTGCATTAATATTATACCTGTACAGATAAACTGAAAGTGACCAAGTTGCTAGGTTACATAAGACCAAAATACGAGGTGTGTCAGGGGCTTTGACCTCCTTCATGTTAATTGGGCAGGTGGCGGTGGAGGTTGAGCCTGGAGAATAATGTGTGCTGTTGTACAATAAAGTTTGTTTCTGGACAAACTAATAAAGCCCTCAACTTAAATATGAAAGAGGGAGATAGAGAGGATGAAAGGATTCTCTCATGTCGTTACTATAGAAACACTCGCTGACTCCTAGGACACACAGGTTAATGTATAACACACACCTGTGCATGCGAACCACACACATGCACACACACACACACACACACACACACACACACACACACACACACACACACACACACACACACACACACACACACACACACACACACACACACACACACACACGCACACACACACAGACTGTTAAGCAGTTTGTAAAGGTGTCCGCCTCTGTAAAACGAGACAAACCAAAAGACTCCAATTATTGCACATATCTCACATCAGATGTAAGTTTACAAAGCAAACAAAGCCTTCAGTAAAACAAACATTTAACTGTTGTGTTGATTATTACAGTTCTTTATCAGATCTTAATGTTTGAATTATTTTCATGGAGAATAGTACTTTACATTGGTGGACACTGGTGTGTGCTTGAAGGTAGATTTTAGGGCTCATGGGCTTATGATGACTATTCAACGCACATGTTTATCTGCCTAACACTTCTGATTTGTTGATTGATGTCATATTTGTTTATTGTCTGTCTTTATTCTCTGTCTGAAACTTTTACTCTGCTGTCTTGGCCCGGACTCACCTGAACCTTAACCAGAATAGTTTCCTGGTCCTGCAGCTGCTTCACACAGCAAACAGCACAGAATAACGCTCTGGAGAGATAAGGTTAAAATAAAAATAAATACATGTTTATGTATTTGACAGATCGTTATGGTTCACTGGGAAAATAATTGAGAGATTTATTAATGATGAACGTTGCAGGTGCAGCCCTAGTATTAAAATCTAAACAGCAATGTGAATTTGTTCTTTGTGTCTGTTGAGAGTTGTCTGTTTATTGGCCAGTGTAATTGGGTTCTCTTCATTAACAACAACAACACAGAAATGAACAAACCCTTACATTTAAGAAGCTAAAACAAGCAAATGTTGGACATTATTGCTTAAAAAATTACCAAAACAATTCATCAGTTATAAGAAAATATCTACTACTTGTCATTTAATCAACTTGGAAAGTAACTAATCGTTGCAGATGTAGAGTTGATTAAAATACTACCACCCGACTGACCACTACCACCTTACTGATTTCGATTTCTCAAACTAACAGTTCTGTGAGCGAGCAAAAATCTGACAACGGATTGACGAGACAATTGAGCTGGGAGAGTCACAACAACGGACTGAGCTAGATCAGCTAGCGGCTGTCCCATGAGCTCCATGATCGTCAGCCTGTCAGTCTGTTGTGCTGTTAAACAACCCCAGTCAATCCATCCCGTCGTCTGACTGCATGTATGGAAACAGACTCTATACAGCATCACCGCTCGCCTTTTGTCACAGACAACCATTCAATCTCTGCACAGCGTTCTGCAGCTGCTTCGCACAGCAAACGGCACAGAATGACGCTCTGGAAACATAACGTTTCTGCTCTCTGCTCATTATTGTGCAGCTGAATGTTAGGACCTGGAGGTTAAGAAGTGGCCATGGTGTCTGCAGCGGCAAGGCTGCCCGCTCTGCAACACTGC